TTTTTTTAAATGTGATTGTTGGTACAGTTTACCAGTTTTTAACCATACTTTCAAAAATATTAAAATAGGAAAAATATGCAATATGAAAAGAACTGAAGACAAAATGTGTTTTACTGAGAAAAAAAAAAAAGTTTTTTAAAAAGACTTTTTCCAAAAGGTACATCAGGAAAAAGGGGGGTCGTCTTATAATTAGGGTCGTCTTATATTCGGGCCAATATGGTACGTCTCTCTGAACAGTCATTCTTTTCTGGGAAAAAAATAAATAAATAGATTACAAGACATTGATGACTCATCCTGCACTACAGTTTCACCCAATCAAATGTTCTCTAGAAGTGGTTCCCAAAATGGGTGCCGTGACATCTTAGCTTTTTCCCCAATTTAAACAACCTAAAATAACTATCGTACCATATAATAAGTAACCTTACAGTATACATTTTAAAAATAGCCTATATCAAAACACCAACATATGAGCATGTCCAAGAATAAATAAGCGAAAAAAAACAGTGTATATTCATACTTATTTAAAGTTTAAATATGCATTTACCACCAATTGGACCGTTCTCAGGAGAGAAATCGCCCCATCCGCTCCGCCCTTTGTACTGTTGCACGCTCAATTTCATACCCATTTCACGCAGTGACTGACAGGACACGAAATTCATGTTGCTGCGATAGACGGTGTTACCGATGTGAAGCTGCAAGTTCCCGCAACACCGGTTGTCATTGCCCCCACTGTCGTTTTGATTTTTTATAGTAATAAAAATAATTTTGTTCCCTACAATTAAAACTGAACAAGCGGCTGCTCAATGCAGCGTGCCGAACGACATTCGCATCACAGATCAGATCTCATTTATCTCGCGAGGAGAAGCTGACAAGAAGAGAGGTGAAACAGACAAGACGATGGCATTAGAGTTTCAAAACATGCAAAAGCGCCTGTTTTAAAAATATTTTGGATTTTGAAAAGCCTGTTGACTTCTGCCATTTATCGAAGGTGATTTTGTAAGTTTAAAAAAAAAAATCGTATTTATTTGGTTCCATCGTGTTTGCCGAATTAAATTTAAACCGTGTACTTTATTTTTTACATCAAGTATGCCGTGTCTCCAGTCTTTCTTATTCGTTTTGCTAATAAACATACATTTCTTATTTATTTGGTTTCACAGTGTTTACTGATCTTCAGTTTTGTATAGGCTACCTAAACTTTGTCCAAGTTATTTGTTTTTTTATATTAGGCATATAGCATGGTGTATTTTTATTCGTTTTGTTAATAAAAGTTCTACGTTCTACATTGTATTTTGTTGTTGCTTGAACCGAATTCAAGCAATTGACTCTGAATTGCTGCTAATTTGAAAGGGAAAGTAAAATGCGCACAACGCTTTTAAGCCATTTAAAAGCGAAGGAAAGAGAAAAAAAAAAGGGAAAACGAACTAAAAACAAAACTGCTTGACAGCGAATTGCCCCTATTTTGAAAGTGAAATTAAAATGCACAGGGTGCTTTTACAAGCCATTTAAAACGGAAGGAAAGCAAGGAAAAAGAGGGAAAACTACCCCCCTCTTTTCCTCACCGTCACAACCCTAATCTCAGAACGCACCGTCAATGTGCTGTTGCCGTTTTCAACCTCTTTCCATGCACAGATATTTTTTTAATTTTTTTAAGTTATAAGGTCAGGTTTGAACAAAGCAAATGAGAAACTAAAGAAAAAATTGAATTGGAGTGGTTTATTATTATTTAAAGAGTTAAGTATCAATCTTTAAATGTGCTTTGTTCCAATGATTCCCACATGGTTCAAATCAGTCGGTTGACATGCGTCATCCATTGTAAAAGACAGATGGTTCAT